TTTAAATTTTTTAGAAATTTTTAATAAATGTCCACTAGGTGTTTGTAACATTATTATATAATTATTTTATTTATAATATTGAAATTGTTGTATAAAATCATATCCTAATAATATATTACATTCTAATTTATCATATTTATATACTTTAATTATTGTAACTTGTTGACTTCCAAAAATTATATTAACTTTATCAGCATTATTAATTATTTGAGTGCTCTCTCCTATAACTCCAGTTATTTTTATGTTACTATTATTATTCCATGATTTTATTAAAAAACTTTTAAATATTGTTGTATCACTTTCTGTATCTATTAAAGCACAAGTTGTTATATTTGTTTTTACAATAGTAATTTGTATGTACACAGCTAATTTAAAACTTATCTGATTATTCATCTAATTTTTTTTACATAATGTAGTTTGTTCATTATGAACAATATATAATCCTTCTCTTTTTATACTATAATCTTCTAATTCATTTAGAAAACTTATTCCTAAAAGTATATGGATGTTTATATTCAGACTCTTATCTATGTAACATGGTACTAAAAGATTTATTTTTCATATTTTTATTGGTACCTTAATTTCTAAATCTGTAATACGTACCTGCCATCAAAATTTACATACTTATATGGCTAAGTTTTATGAGTTATTAAACCCTTATTTCTAATCGAAGTTATGTGACATTCACTTGCTCCTGTATCTATTAATATATTTGGTCCATTTATATTTTCTCTTCCATTATAATATTTTCCTTCTATTTTCATATTTCCAGCATTCCTATATAGTTTTACTTCTTTTATTTTGTTGATTTCTTCTAATTGGTTTTTATTAGGTATTTTAATTTTTTTTATCTTTTAATTAATTTTCCATTCTTAAATATTATATTATTAGAACATTCTCCTTCATTTAATTTTGTTATTTCAGGTTTATTTTTTGTTATGCTAAATTCATATTATTCTGAAATTAAGTTTATTTGTTTATTTGATTCTATTATTTTACTAATATCTTTGCATTCTTTATGAATTTCAATATATGGTTTATTAGAATAAATATTCCCATAATTAGAATTAGTAAATGTATATAAAGCTCTATATTTTATAGTCATAATTTGATTACCTGATTGCATGATATCATCTCTATGAAACTTAAAATGTAGTCCTAAAACTTCATTAAAGTTTCTATCTTTTAATGATGCACAATATTTTGGATAACACGTAAACATAATTTTTTGATATGCTAAATTTCCTTATCTTGTTCTTAAATGACTATCTTTTAAATTTATTTTTCCTCCATCATGTAAAGTTATAGTTAATGGCGAGTCTATCCCTTCTCTGAATAATGATTTAAACATTATTTGTATCATGCTAAATAAACATATTGGATTTTTTCATTCTGTTTTTTACTAATTTTTGTTAATAGTTTTTCAACTGTATTTTTTGTTAAAAGATTTAATTTATGTTGCCCATAACTTGTTCTTACATCTATGATTTTTTCTATTTTATGATATTCATTTATTGCTATTCTTTCGCTTTTCCAAATTCTATCAAAGACTTCCAATTTTCCTATTTTTAAGTCTAAAGATAATTTTTTAATTTTCTAAACTTGTTATTATCAAAAGTGTCTTTTAATCCATATTCTTTTATTTATTCATATTCTTGTATATTTATATTATTACTTTTTATTTCTTCAATTTCTCTATTCAGATCTTGATTCATCCTTTGTTTCACTTATATATACTTCTTGATTATAATATTTTTCAATATCTGATATTTTATTTAATTCATCTTTTATTTCTAAATATTCTTTTTGTAATATTCTAATTTTCTTTTTATCACAATCAAGGCTTATATGACCTATTTCTCCACAATTCGAACATTTACATTTACATTGACTTTTATTTTTCTTTTTATTCTTTTGTTGATTATATGGGTTTTTTTTTATAATATCTTTTTCTAAGTTTTATATATTTTTTATTAAAATTCCTAAATTTTTTATTTTTATACTTTCTTTTATTAATTCTTCTTTTAGGATTACATCCCCATTGCACAGGGGTTTCCATATATTCACAACACATTTTAGTTAATTTTCCTTATTTTTTCATTAATTGTCTTTGTTGACATATATATGCAAATATTTCAAATAAAAATTTTATTCTTGATCCTAAAGTTCTAGGTATTTCAATATTATCTCTAACATATTTTTCAAATTCTATTTTAAAATATATTCCCCATGAACATAGTAACTTATTATAGTACATGTCTTGGTATACTTCTTGATTTTCATTATTATAAAATTGAATATAATAGTAATTTTTAAATTCACAAGTATATTTTTTAATTTTACACATATTACATATTGTTAAATTTATTAATTTTATTCTAGCATTATCTTTTTCTCTTATTGATCTTCTTTCGGCATTTTTTATCTAATTTTCTCTTAAAAATTCATTTGAAATATACTATACTAACTTTTCTATACTTTGTCTATCTGATTTTATTATTTCTGTTTGTACATTTCTTTTTATTAATGTTTTTGTATCATTGTTTATTTCTTCCCACCAATTTCTAATATCTCATTCAAAGGATGCTATTAAAAAATCTATTCTTCTTTCAATATTTTCCCATGTGTCATCTTTATTATATAAAAAGAATAATATCATTGAATTTGCCCAAGTTAATAAGGCTTTTTTAGTATGTATTTTACAATTTAAATCTAGTTTTGTTCCTCCATGATTAATTGGTTTATCATAATTATCATTTAATTCAAACCTATTTTTATATTTATTTCCTTTAGGTGGTTGTCTATCTCTTACTTTATCATAGAATTGTCTATATATTTTATTATATATAGGTGCATAACTTTCATCTGTATCATGTAATTCTTATTTAGAGGTTCCTGTTGGATTAGGTCCTCTTCCAATATTCATTAAAACTTGGTATTCACTTATATCAGTTAAGCTTAATTGATCAAAATTTTATATTAGCAAATCTAATTCTTCATTCATTTTTAATTTCTTTTTCTTCTACTTTTAATTTTCCTAATGATTTTTCTTCCTTTTTTAATATTTTTGGTAATATATTTTTTCTAAATTCATCATCTATACTTCCTGTTTCTATTAATATATTCTCTTTTTTTATATGTTTCTTTCCTATTCGAGTCATTTTTATTTCTATAAGTTTTTTATCTATTTTCTTATCTTTATCTTTATTATTTTCTTTTAATTCTCTAATTTCAATTTTTAATATATTTATATCGTTTCTTGTTTCTTTTACTTCATTTCTTAAATCTTGTATATCGTTTATTAACATTTTTATTAATGATTTTAATTCTTCAATATATTCACTTATTGACATTTTAATTTTTTCTAATTTCTAACTCATAGATTAATTTGCACCTTTTATCTTCCTTTTTATCTATTATTTTTTCAAATCTTCTCTCAACTGTATTTGGACCTACTAATTCTTCTTTTACTATAGTAAAATATCTACTCTCAAGTCTTAATCTTTCACATTTTAATTTTATTAATTTCTATTATTTGATATTCTCATTTCTTCTGGTATTAACATTATATTTCGTATTTCTTCTTGCATTTTTTTCATTTTTATAAGTAATTTATTCAATTTTAAATGTGTATTATCACCTGCACTCATATTTTTTTTGTAATATAAATTATTTTCTTCATCTTCATATATATTAATAATTTTTTCATATGTATATATATTCTTTATTTTTTCTATTATTAATTTTTCTAATATTTGTCCCTTTATTTCTCTAGGCAACTCTTTAATTACTGTTAGTGTCATTATTTTTAATCTATTATGAATATATTTTAAAAATATATAACTATCTCTTTCTTCTTCTAAACGCCAATAATTATCTATTTTTCTTATTTTAGTTTCCATAATCTAAATATTCCTTTAACTTTCTAATAGTTAATATGTTATTTATTAAATTTATATAAAATCTAAGTGTTAATCTAAATCTAAATATTTTTACTTTTTCAAGTAATCTATTTTTAATAGGTTTTCTCATGATCTCTATGGCTCTAATACCAATAACGGGGGGTTACTTAGAGTGAACAAAAATTAAATTAATCAAATAAATCAAATAAAATATTAATAAAAAAAATTAAACAAAAACTATCAAATTTCGGTCAATATTTAATGTTAAGGACTTAAAAAGAAGATTTCTATATTATAGTGCCTTATTCTGTAATATCCAAATGGAGGGCATTTTTGGTATGTAAATTGACCAAAGGTCATTTTGGAAAAGTGCCCATTTTCTAAAGGCTATTTCCATGTGTTTCCCGCTTCCGTTATCACCGAATAGCTTGGTAGCAGCCTACTTGAACAGTTGAACATTGGTTGGACCCACCACTTGATGGAAGTGGTTATTTTTTAGTAGAGCCCTTAATTCATCAAAGAATAAAAAGTTCAAAGAGGAAAAAGAAAAAGAAAACTATTTCCGAAAGCCTATCACCTTCTTAGTCCATATAAAAGCATATATTATTTTCATTGGAAGCAACCTTTACCTGTATAATAGCAGAAAGTGTAAAAAATGAGTTAAATTTCACTCGTTCGAGATATTCTCACTTCATTCTCCCTTTTGCACATCAGATGTTTGCATATATGCATATATGTGCATTGTTAAAATGAGTTAAATTTCACTTGTTGGAGATAGTCTCACTTCATTCTTCCTCTTACACATCATATATTTGCATATACACATATTTGTGCATTATTTGTACTATCTCTTTGGACTTTGAATTGCGTCTCCTTTATGTACTTTACTTTACAGCTTCTTGACTCATTTCTGTGGGGCAGTCTCTTCTTCTCTAAGGATCTAATTTTTTTTTCTCGAGTCATTAGGAATCATATACATTCTGCAGCAATTTATTTATTTGTTGTATAATAAGGATCTGCAATTTTGTTTTGGTTATGTCTTCTCTTTGAAAATAATTTTTTACTCTGTTTTTCTTTTTTCTGTTTGTAATTGGATAGGCAAGGAAACTCGAAGCACAACTCGATGAACAGATGCATTTATATCGAAAATTAGTATCAAGAAAAATTGATAATACTAATGATAATGATTTAGAATCCGGAATTGAGCATCTTCTCAAACAGCTTCAACAAGTAAATTTGCAAATGCAAGCTTGGGTTTCATCTGGAGGATCTGAAATTTTTTCTCATACATTGACTCGACATCAAGAAATTCTTCAGGATCTTACTCAGGTATGCAATTTTTTGACAACTTGACTATGCAAATTATCTAGAATTAGACATTCTGATTGCAGCATGCTTCTTGTTCGAATAAAACTTGGTATTGATTATGATGATGAAGTCTTTATATGGCGGATTTCTATAATGATGTTGCTACATCTGTGTGATTGTTGAACTTCTGGGGCATAATACATTGGAGGGGAGTCTGGCGTGTCTATTATTATCTCTATGAGATGTTTTAACTTTACTGTGTAAAACTGTAGCTGAAATCCTTAAAAATGTTGGATTTAGTTACCTGGGGTGCAGAATGCTGAGATTACTCGAGAGTATTATGAACTGCTACATCTCTGAAATGCTGTAAAACAGTGCTTTGAAACCAGTGGTGGAGGGGGTAAGGGGCCAGTGGGGGCAGTTGTCCCTACTGAATTTGGGATAATTTTTATATCTGTTTTTCACAAACATTTTTTGAATAACTGTTTCTCACAATTTGATTTGTCTGCGAAATGGAATCTGAATGCAATTCTTTTCCAAGCTCCAAAATACACTTTCAAAACCCCACCCATTTAAAAAAAAAAAAAAGGCAAAATCGGGTATTGAGGCATTTTTCTGTTGTGAGGCAAGGTGTAAGTCTTGAGGTGCTTTGAATCGTAAGCCTCAATGTGAATAAAAAACATTAGTCAAGAGAATACAAAAATTAGCATGTCGTAAACCATAAACAAACTTTAAAATTCCCAAAACACTAGAATAAGTTTTAAGTATCAATACAAACAACACCCATGAATGGACTTTTAGTGTAAAAAGGGGGAAAAAATAAAAAATAAAAAAATTAGAGAGATTGACTTCAATTGCAACCACAGTGATGATTCCAACTTTAATGGGGGATTAAAGACTGTTGATTTTGTTGACAAACATTTGGTGAAGCTTCAAACAAGCTTGGATGTGATCCTAATGATGTTTCTTGGAATTTGACTTCTTAAGACGATTGTACTAGCACAAGTCAATTAACCTAATCTATTGAAGACTTGTCGAAAAATCATTCATCTAGCCCCCGTTTGGTGGAGATTAAATTCAAATTTTTAGTAAATTTTGATTAAAAAAAATGATGAAATGTATAGTTGAAAAGTTGCAGATCCTGTAAAATGTGATTAAAATTAATTGCTGAATTTGATTTAGATTTAAATTTAGATTTTAATCCTTAGTACTTGTTGGTGCATGCATGTAAAATTTTAATCCTTAGTATTAGTTAGTGCATGCGTTTAAGTAAGTATCATGGGTTCATGCATTTTTTTCATTTAAACATAAGGAAAAATGAAGAAAGGGAGAAGAAGAGACAGTGAAGTCGACCAGCAGGAAGAAGAAAAAGCAAAAAAATGATTAGGAGAAGAAATAAAAGCTGGTCTTATAATTTACGCAATTTGTGTGTTATGTTTGTGTTGTAATTTGTGTTTGGACTTGTAATTTATTTTTATTTATGGTTGACTGGTAGATAATCAAAGGAATTTGGTTTGTTTTAATAGGGGGTGGGTTTCTGAATCTGGCAAACATTGAAATTTGCTAGGAATAAATAAAAAGTAGGCCTAGCCGATTAAAGAGGCACGCCTGTCATTGTTTGAGGTGTGCGCATGCTGACTCCTGAATCAATACAAGCCGAAGCCTCATTAACCACATCAAAATGTTTGCACTCCCAAAGCAATTTTGAGCACCTCAAATTGAGACGTACCTCTCTTTTGCCTTTAAACCATTCCCCCACCCACTCTCCAACATTTCAATTCCTAATTAGTGGCAAACACTCCTCCCCCAACCCAATATCTAAAACCCACATGTAGTCCCCTTATATATATTTATCATTTTTAATGTGCTTAATTTCAATTTATGTTGTTAGAATTAGTCTGTGTATGTTTTATCTTGTTTGACTTGTTTAATTGAAGTAGATTATTTATTTTAATTGTGTAAACTGTTTTATTAGAATTTCAGCATAAGACTTGTGTAATTGTGTTTAATTTTTTAATTTAAATGTATTTACCATAATTTAAGTGAATTTAATGTAAATAAAAGTGAATTCACTAAATTTGATACATAGCAAGTTGGTTAAATTGAAAAAGATGTAATCGCTAAAAATGAGAATGAGGCCATTGACATTTTCAAAGTATAAAAACTCGTAGGGAAAAGTTGTAAAAGGCTATACAGTCTTAGTATTATTGTGTTACTATTACGTTAGGGAAAAAAATTTGTAGTTAGATCTTGCCTTAGGCCCCCAATATAATTGGTTCTTGGTTCCGCCATGGTTTGAAACCATGTGACTTATGTACTAAGCACATATTTAGTTAATGTTTATAAACTGTTTATAATCGATTAAACCATTTCTTATTTATACATTTCGTAAGACATACAAGTACTACCCCCAATATAATCGGTTCTTGGTTCCGCCATGGTTTGAAACCATGTGACTTATGTACTAAGCACATATTTAGTTAATGTTTATAAACTGTTTATAATCGATTAAACCATTTCTTATTTATACATTTCGTAAGACATACAGGTACTATTAACTTATCCATCACTTATTTCTATCTATTTATAATTTAAACGGAATATAAACAACTTCCAGACATTCTTTAAATCATATGGTGCAGAACTGGAAGCATGAAGAAAGGACGACGCAGATGTGGTGTCAAATACAACTAAAAGACTCTCTTCTGTATTGTGATTGAAATCTGTTAGTGATCATTTTTGCTTACAACACAAAGACGGCTATTAGTTTTGTATATATATTAATATATTATCTAAGATTTTTCTTTGCCTTGTGTTCTTCTGATAAGCTGATTGCACGATTCTTTTAGATTTATTTAAATTAAGAAGATTTGGCTGAAGTTGATCAAATACATCATTCCATGTGCAGGAATTTAATCGGCTTCATTCTAGTCAAAGAGCTAAGAAAGAGCATGCTTCTTTACTTGAGGATTTTAGGGAGTTTGATCGTACAAGATTAGACCTGGAAGATGGAGGTGGTTCGTATGATCAAGCTCTCCTCAAGGAGCGTGCTACCCTCAATAGAAGTACAGGACAGGTAATTGAGATTTGGAACTAAACTTGCATTTTAAGGAAGTGTTCTTAAATGATAAAGTTGAATTACTCAATTATGGTTGAATTACTTTGTTTTTAAAATTGAACGAAATTCAGTCTTTATTTCACGTGTTTATGCATGATCTATGGAATAAGGTGGCTAAGCATCTCTTTGTTGCCACACAAATTTAAAGACCAACAACTGGGCTAGCTACTTCAAAATATATACACTAGAGGCTCTTAATGTTCAATGCATATGGTGATATTCCCGAATTTTTGACTAGTTCAATGAGCTTAAACTTCAATCTTGTTTGACAGGTTTAATAATTTGTTTCCATCTTGGCGTGTTTGTGGCAGTTGTGAAATATTGAGACACTGAATTGGATCTCCACTGATGGAGCAGAATAAATAATGAGTTTTTTCATTACTTACTAACTGCAAAATATTTTCCTTGAGAACTCGCAAATTGATTTATGTTTTTTTGTGGCTTAATATGATTTATTGGACTTGGACCTGCCCAGTTTTTCAGGGTATTTTATTCTTTTCCTCAAGTGTAGTTGCTGAACTCACATTGATTGTTGAGAATATTGGTCTTTAGCGAGCTGAAGATATAATCTTCCTTTGAAAAGTCAACAGGGTGATATAATAATAGATATGTTCGATATGTATACTCATGTAGGTGGAAACACGTATTCTCTGTGCCCTTGAATGTAGACCATGCTGTGCTAATCTTGATTCTTCTTTCTGTCTGGATATGCTTGTATGAGTATTACTAAAAGAGCACACACGATCAACATGCAAGGTTTTTTTGAGCAACAAGCAAGAAACAATTAACCATAGATGTGATGTAATCCGTATATTGTAAGCTTAAAAAGTTTCGGAACCCCAAATGACTGGTAGGTCTTGCTGTCTTGGAGTAGTACGAGACGAGTATTTCCATGTAATTAAAGTAAGCATTGACTTGTTTACAGAATTGCGATTTTTTTTCATTCTCCTGTATACAATAGTGGACTCACAAACCATTGATTTCATGGGGAAAGTATGACATGCAAAATCAAGCTACTTCGTGTACAAGTTTCCATGCATAAGGATTGCTCCTCACACACTTTCTTCATGCCATCTTGCAATCACTTCTCAATATGGACTGGTAATTGTGTCGACTTAACTCATGCAGCTAGCTTCATAGAAGGGATTTTTATGCCTGTATTTATGGTAGTTTGAGGAGAGATTATGAAGGATGACAAGATGCTGATGGAATAGCATTTGTTAATAATACTAGTAAACTTTATTAGATTCAACATGAAAATTTAAATTTTGTTGCTGATATATTCATTTCATGTGTCATTGTTTGTTTTGAGGATGTTTTATACAAACTTGGGCTAGGTGCTTACCCTGAGGAATTGCTATTTATGATTGGGGAAGTTGTTCATAATTCTCAGTATGTATATTTTTACTATGTCTTTGTTATTTATATGTACCTGATTCTTTATTGCTGCAGGTGGACTCCGTGATCTCACAAGCACAAGAAACCTTAAAATCTCTCATGTTTCAACGTTCGACATTTGGGGGCATTAATTCAAAGCTAAGTAATGTCAGCAGTCGGCTTCCAACGGTAAGGAAATTAATTTTTGGTACTGTTGATTTTATTTTATTTTTTTCCTTTCTTCTTCCTCGCAATGTTGGTGTTTAGAGAGGCAGTTCTATATTTTGATCGAGGCATCTTTTGAAGGTATAAGATTAGTTGTTATAGAGCTGTCACCTAGTTGACATGTAATTTGACATACAGAACATGGATATGGGACCTTCAAACTAATATCTTGGAAGAGTATCATAGGGTATTTAAATCGACAGTTTGAGACAACTAAGTGAATTATTCATATCTATGCTATTCGTTAGTGCCAGATAAGGTGGGAATCGAGACGATAGTTTTGCTGATGAATCTGTCAAATTTATAAATATCATTCGAATGTTGCAGGTGAATCACATTCTCTCGGCTATAAAGAAGAAAAAGTCCATGGATACCATCATCCTTTCCTTGCTCGCTGCTGTTTGCACGTTTCTCATTTTAATTTACTGGTGGACGAAGTAAGAAAACATTGCGCGAGTGTACTGGTGGAACCTTGTGACGTGATCTTTTGCTAGTTATATTGTTTATACATACCTTGTTAAGCTGTCACAAATTTTTTGCTTTCTATACTGGTATTGGCTTCTCGGACAACACTGTAGCCATTTTGTTGGCGAACGACACTTTGGTAAATCTAATCAGATCGCAACCAAGTTCAACAATGGCTTGTTTATCACTGGTGAATCCTTCGATTTTTTATTTTATTTATCATTGTAGAGTTAAATTCGTGTCTTAGTTTGGACCAAGCACTATAAATTTCTGCCATTTGACAACTCTGGTTTGAATGCAGCAGATGGGGGCAACGTGCTTGTTTTTGGAGCGCTGAGAATTGAAAGAGCTTCCAATAAGGCATTATTCAATACAAAATCTTTTAATCACTTATGAAAAGTCATCTCAGAGGAAATGGTCTAGATTAATACCACAACAGTGGGAATAGAGTTTATCAAGGGAAAAATTTCAGCAAATGAAATTTATATGAAAAAGATCAATTGATTGATTACAGAAAAGATAGCGAAAAAAATTATCCCTAGAGTCGAGACTAAGAGGAATGTATAAACCAATGCTTCCATAGCACCGCATAAAAACATTCCTCCTAGAGTATCTGTTAATACGAATAAGAGATATTTTGTTATAGCCATTTTTGTACATTTAATGTACTATACAGATAAGTGGTCAAGGTAATTGTAAGTGATTCGAAGAGAATGTTAAGTGTACCACATTGTTCCCAAAAGTTAAAAACAGCCTATTGATACACAAAAAGTTCAGCCCAAGTTGAATAGCCCAAGGAATGAAGCTCAATTAGAAGATCCCCAAAATCAAATAGCTCAAAGAATGACTCAATCAGGCAATGCAGGATAAAGGTCTAAATAGGGAAGCCCATGAACGCGGTAATACCATCGCCCAAGGTTGCAAATCGCCCAAGATTTGAGTGAATGAATTGCTATGCAGTCGCTCAGAGCTGTGACCCGCTCTCGTCCAAACATTTGAGTCGCCCAACATCTTAGCAAATATAAGATGTTATGGTTATCCAAAAGTGCAGCTAATGAAGAATTTATTAGGTAGTCCTATCATGTTCCACGATTTAAGGAATTCAATTGAAGACGGTTGAACGACAAAAAGTAATGGTAGCAGTTAGAGAAGGCAGTTCCATGACAAGTTGGCCACTACGAGGAAAGTGGGCAGTTATAGAGCAATCAAGTAGTTTTTAAGTGGTTGATAACAAAAAGATCATCCAGGGAGTATAAAAGGAAGAGAAGACATAGAGCAAAGGAACCGAATCAAATACTCTCAAACAGAGAATATGTAACTTTAAATTTCTTAATTTAGATTTAAACACTTCTTTTCAGTAACTCGTGTGCTTGCGCCCCTTGGAGGCATTCTGTTTTTATTTTCCAATTGTAAAGTCATAGCCAAAAAAAACACACATTTTTGGGACTTTATCTCAAGAGCTTTGTCCCTTACACAATCGTCTGATCCCTTTTTAATTGTTAGCGACTACCCGCGCGAAACAATTTAACACGCCCAGTGGGACCTTGGTGTTTGGTGTTGAAGATACAAAAGGTGAAACACTATGCCTCAGAAATCCGATAAGGAAGCAGCAAGTCAAGGAGGAGCCCAGTCTGTGATCGAGCGATATGAGGAGCAGCATGACTCTTCACGAACAGATGGACAGAATCAGAGCAATCACAGTCGTTACGAACCAATGACAGAGTTGAGTCCTCGAACCATGCGTGCATTACTCGGAGAACTTACATAAGATGTCGTTGAACGGGTAAATCTACAAAGTATTCATAATATGGAAAGACTTACCTAGAATGAGAATGCGCATTATGACAACATGGCCAAACAACTGAATAATGCGCATTATGACAACATGGCCAAACAACTGAATACTTCGAACGAAATAATGAATAAGTTAGTAGGCCAAATTTATCAGCCAGTTGTGCCTCTTGCAAACCACTTTCAAACTAGGACAATTGTGGGACATAATCCCCCAGTGCTAAGTTTAAATCAAGGGGTAGAACCACCTTTTGATCCTTCTACTTCAAATCAGGGGGTAGTGTAATTCCAAATCAGAATAGTGGCATTGGTACATCTAACTTGGGGGGTAACCTAAATGTAAGAGATAATGTCCCAAATAATGGGCAGAATACCCCACGTGTTAATGACGGAATAAATGTTCAGGGTAATGGTAACAATGACCCAAATCATGGTAACTTTGTTGTCAATCAAGGACCAAACATCAGGCCTCAAGCAAATCAACTGGTCAACCAACCTGTAGGAATTCCATATGACCCCAACATCATGTTGAGGAATCAGATTATGAAAATCGTACAGGACCAGATGACTTTTGGAGTACGTCCTGTCATTAGGCCGACTTACACAAAGCCATATCTTGATTGGGTAGACCAAGCATATCCATAGCCTAGCGGGTATAAAGTGCCAGAATTCTCATTGTTTACCGGTTTAGGAGAGGTGTCTACTCTAGAACACATAGGGCGATTCACACTACAAAGTGGTGACATAACTGATTACCATAAAATGAGGCTGTTCTCTAGTTTATTAACAGGAGTAGCCTTCTCCTGGTTCATCAATTTGCCAGCAAACTCTGTCCAAACTTGGCAATAATTGGAGCAATGTTCGATGCTCAGTTTTATAAAACTGAGTCTGAAGTTACTTTGTTCGATTTGGCGAATCTACGTCAACTACCAAACGAATGGACAGAAGGTTTTCTTCAAAGGTTCAAGACGGCAAGAAGTAAATATTTTGTACCTTTGCCTAAAAAGGAGTTTGTCGAAATTGCTCAAGGTTGCATAAGCTATGATTTGAAAAGAAATTCCAAGACAAGGATTTTTCTGATCTTTTCCAATTGAGCGCGAACGTGATTAGGTATGAACGATTAATAAAAGAAGAAGAACAAATGAAAAATTCTAGCAAAAGGACTTATTATAAAGACCCAAATTTTGATGTTCATACTATTAACGACGAGTATTACGATCAAACCGAAATGTGTTTGGCCGAATTAGTTAAAGGAGACACATATACTTGTCCTATAATGGCTAAGCCTAGACCGTCAGGCAGGGATGAGGCTATAAAAGGTGAAAACATAAAGGCTAGAACGTTCTCATTCGATGTAACCAAAGCTGACCTTTTATTTGATAAATTATATAAGGATAAGCAGATAAAGCAAAGCGATAAGCATAAATTGCCAAGCCTTGAACAAATTAAGGGTAAAAAATATTGTAAGTGGCATAACACATGGTCACATTTGACTAAAAATTGCTTGATTTTTCGCCATGTGTTACAGGATGCCATTGAATCAGGACGAATTACATTCGAGGATCAGAGGAAGATAGCAGTGGATGAAAACCCTTTTCCATAGTCACTTGGAGTGAACATGGTGACATCTGGTTTCAAAAACAAATTGTCAAAATTCAAGTTGGTTATAAATGATGGAGAAAAAGACCCTGGACCACATCTCAGTGTCTTTAAACGTATCAAAGGGAAGGAGCCCAAAAAGGAAGAAGACGTTCTATGTGCAAGATGCAAAAAAGAAGTGAGTGCAAATGCAGAGAAACCAGGGATATGGCAGCATCACCATCGCCCTAGTTTTTTCCTAAACGCTCAGCCTGGTAGAGGGCAGGGTACATCGTTCTATAAAGGATTTCCTTTTGAGAGGCAGTTCAGGCCAGTAAATAATGGGAGAACATTCAGACCGCAACCTCGCCAACCAAATGTATGGCATTCGTTCCAGTATGAGGCTGGAAGGGCGATACTTTTCAATGAGATGACTAGAACCCAACAAAGGCGTTTTCAATGAAAGTACGGGCGAATGATGAGACAAGAACAGGGAATGCTGCGTCCTAAGGTACCTAGACTACTCGAAGCGGCCAATCAGAATGTTCTCAAAGACAGTGAAGAGACTGGTACAGGCGAACCTATGGAAGAATTGCTAGAGACTTCTTCTGGGAGGTCGAAGTTTGAGTGAGACAAAGGGGATGGAGAAGATATAGATTAGCCCCTTACTATCCAATTTGGTACGTTACCTCCTGTCGTGGCTAATAACTATTTACTAGCCAATGAGTTCAAGAATAAAGAGAAAGGAGAAGAAGAAAAAGAGGATAACGAAGAGGAAGCATGCATGCTGGAATATGAAGAAGGCCAAACTTCTAGAGAGGCCTACAATGGTGAAGAAGATGATGGTATGATAGACATCGAAGAGGAAATCGATCTGGAAGCAGAAAAGAGAAGAAGAGGAGTATCGTACAATACTCTGTTGAAGCAATTATATCGAGAGGGAGTTCGTGAAGTAGACTTATTGGGAGAACCATATGGGCGTTCTTTCAATTTTTACGTGCTGTACGGGACGCCCAAAAGGAAGAAGAGAGTGCCTCGCTCTGAAAAGTATGAATCACTTCCAAGAATAATGCTTCCTCCCACAAGTTGGGTAACTGAAGAAGAAGCATTAGAAAATAGTAAAAAGGAAATTGAGGAGACAGAGGCTCAGTGCGATATGCTGCACGTTGACTTATCACAAAAGGGTAACTCGATAGAGGACAAGCAGGAAGTGGGAATAGATGCTGCCAAAAAAGTTATTTTTAAGCGACCAACCATGAAATTGACAAAACACTTGAGACCATTGTACATTAAAGCTCTAGTTAACGGCATACCTATGGCAAAAGTATTTGTCGATAATGGAGCAGCTATAAACACCATTCCATCTAGGATGATGAGGAAATTCGCAAAGACAGAAGGTGATATGATCCCAACGGAAGTCATCCTGACAAGTTTCAATGAAGGAGCAACTTCTGCTAAAGGGGTTATGCCATTGGACATAACTATAGGAACAACTACTAGGACCACAGTCTTCTTTGTAATAGATGGTCCCACTAGTTACAATATGTTATTAAGAAGAGATTGGATACACGGAAGTCGTTCTATACCTTCATTGCTCCATTAGTGCCTAGTTTTTTGGAATGACAAGGGCAAAGTAGAGGTGGTGCAGGCCGATCATAGGCCTTTTGTCGCAGAAGCAAACTCAGTGGAAAGGTTCATGTACGAAGGAAATTATGGACCTGTTAGAGTAGTCTAAGATGGAGAAGAAACTCAAATTTTCATGCAGAGTGAAGACCCGTTTTTGGTGGATGCACTCACTGAAATGTTCAGTCAGATGAGGCCA